AGTAAAAATTATCCATATATAATTTAGTTTCTTCACTTGACCCCTTTACTTGGATGCAGGGATAGCTATACTGTTTTTATTTTATTTTTGTTTTTATCAGGGGACCATCTTTAATATATTGCATATACTCTGCTTTTCAGTTTTCTAAGTCATTTCATTGTTATTACTGTATTTACTTTAATTGGTTCTCAGTAGAATCTTATGGAAGTGAAAGAAAAGGAAGAACACTATTGGATTAATGTTGTATAATCTTCATCTTAGAAAAAAGAGTTTCAAATAGGTATATTGTACTATGGTAGGTATATCGTACAATATGCAAATAGATATATTGTAATATACAAATAGCTATATTGTACTATGAATTCTAAAGTATGAAGAATGTTGCCTCTTATTCTTTAGATGAAGTTGAAAAATACCAAAAGGGAATTTTATGTCAGATGTTTTTATATTGTATATTCTTCTGTTTTTATGGATGTTTATTATAATTAGAGAAGCCTACTTTAGAATACTTTGAAATTTTCTCAGAAAAACAAGAATATATGGCTTCTGACTGATCCAGCTTTAAATTTAATTTCCATTTTCAAATCCAAGGAAAGGTGTGGTTGGTGGTATTTGCTTGTTAATTTGTTGATGAATGAATAGAGAGGCCAAGAAGTACACTTCAGTACAACACATCTTCTGAAGATAGATGATCGCAAATAAATTTTCTTCCCAACTAGTTTTTGATTTGTTGGGTATTACACCAATTCTTTGTGAGGACAGTGTTTACAATCCTTATAATGAAACAGTTCTTTGAGACTTTACCTCTTCTTGCCTGTAATTTTGAAAAATGGAACCTTGATTCATAAAAGATCTAGTGATTAAAAAGCCATACACTTTGATTTAGATAAATGTGTGGTAAAGGATGACAAAACCAAGTAGCTTGACTCACAGCTAAATGATATATTTAACAAACCAACGTAAGTGAGGTCATAGTTAAGGGAAGTGATTAATTTCATGTATTTCTTTTATGGCTATAAAATTAAGTTGTTTTCAAAAGTTAATATAGATTTTGTATCTCCAGATTTACTTAACAATGCCTTTTATTGTCTTTTATTTGTTCATTAATTTCAACTATGTAAAACAACTTAGCATTTTTTTTTTACTAACCTCCCCCACTACTTTAAACTGCTAACTAGGAAGCTGATCCACTGAGAAATTGGTGCCAGTGTATTCAGAACTGAATGGATAAGATTCAGAGTTGTAGTTAATGGTTTAATGTACATATGACAGGAGAGTACAGTATTCCAAGGACCTATACTTAGCTCTAGGTTAGCATTCTTATATATGACTTAGATAAAGGCATAATTGGCATTTTCAACCAATTTTCAGAGGAATAGCTAACACTGGATGGCAGAGTCAGGATCTAGAGCATAGGTTCCAAAAGTGGGTGATACTGTTCCCTGAAACAGTGGCAGGAGCCAGTAGTAGCCTTGGGTGCAATTGGGGGGGGAGCATTGAATAAAAATAAGGGGGCAGTGGAAGCATAAAGAAGGAAGAGAAGAGAAAAAAATTTTGAAAAATCTTTCACACATATTTCATCTGTTGTGTAACAGAATTTAAGTCATAGTGATTACATTATTTTGCAAATAAACACACAAAATGAAAATTATAACTGATCAGTGGTCAAGTCCACCGACAGGTCTTAATAAGCAAGTGTTGGCCGGCAAGCTTGTCATGAATTGGCAGGAAGGCCAGCATGCATTGGCAGGAATATGTAAATGTAATGACTTGTTTACAGATATGATACTATACAATTATGTGACATAATATTGTGTCATCAAAATTTCAATGCAGGGGGAAAAAACACAAATTTACAATAAATTATTAAATTGAAGATGCGTCATTTTTAAAAAATATTTTTTTGAAATGATGCAAATTTTTTTAAAAAGCATTAAAGAAATTTTTTTAAAGTATATTTCTGGGGCGGGGGCACTTAGTAAATTTTATTTTAAAGGGAACAGTAGGCCAAATAAGTTTGGGAACCTGATCTAGAGTATTGTAAGGATGCAGATAAGATGACTCCATAGAAATCAGTGTAAAGCAATACACTTGAATAAAAAAAAATTAACTTCACAAGTATAAAATGGGAAAGGCAGCAGGTGTTTTGAAAAAAAGCTTTTGGAATTTTAGTGGACTACAAATTCAAAATGCATCAATAGTGTGACATGGCAGCCAAAAAAGCTAATATGAGAATTGGGCCTCAGTAAGAGAGGTGTAACTAGGAAGAGGGAAGTGAACCATTTCTGCCACCAGTGCCCCTTCAATATACACACACACACACACAGATACACACACACACACACACACACACACACACACACACACACACACACACACACACACGTCAGATTTATCTAGAATACTATATTCGGTTCTGGGCACCACAATTTTAAAAAGTTATTGTAAGCTGGAGATTGTCCCTAAAAGGGCAACCAGGATGGTGTAGAGTGCTGAGTCCATGACAGAGGAAGATCAGTTGAAGGATCAAGGCCTAGTTAGCTCATAGAAATGGCTTGTAGAAGTGCTGTCATGTGAGTGAGGGTAAACTAAACTTCTCTTTGGCCCTGCCTGTGCTAAAACCTTGAGTAATGGATACAAATTGCGAAGAGACCAATTTAAGCTTGACATCAGGAAAAAACTTCTCAACAATTAGAGCTGTCCTAAAGTGAAATGAGCTAAAAGTTCTTCTTCCTTGGAGGTCTTCAAACAAACATTAGTCAACCATTTATGGGAAATGTTACAATGATTACTTTTGTGCATTTGTTGGACTACGTGAGCACTGAGGTATTTTCCAATTTTTGAATTCTGTGGTTCAAATATTCCAGATTTCAGTCTCCTTTGTCATGTTTTATTTGTCTATGGCTATGGCCTTGTCATCATTTTATTTTAAAATGGAAAGAAAAGTAATTTTAGAAAAGTCCATATTTATTTCATTAACTGAAAAACCTACTTCTACAACTCTTCCAAACAGTTTCACTATAAAATGTCCTAGCTATTACTACTGATAATACTTATGAATCTTTCTCTCTGAGTAGAGGTTAAGTTCTTGAATTATTTCATGAAACTCATAATGACATACTTATAGGTAAAAAAGTTGAGTTGAGCCTGATAGAGTTAAATAATGATCTATATCAGTATCAGTACTTAAAAATTATTAAATAGGCAAAGTTTGTCTTTGTCACCCCTGATTTTTTTCCCTACTGTCCCTCCCTTAAGGTTTCTAGTACATTCCTAATAATAATTGACATTTATTTGGCAATTTTTTGCCAATTGTTCTACATACATTATCTCATCTAAACCTTATGGCAAATTTGTAAAATAAGTACTACATTTATTTTCATCCTCTTTTCAGATGAAGAAACTAAGGCTCACAAAAGATAAATGACTTGCCTAGAGCCACATAGCTCGTAAATGGTAGAAATGTTCCTGACCCCAAGTCTAAGTCCAGTAATTTTTTTCTACCATACTCACCCACTGTCTCTGTATTTTCTTCATCTATATGAAAACCTGCTCTCAGGAAAGAACATAATATAGTTATTCACACAAATATGTAAATGATGGATAAAATTTAATGTGTTAACTTTCCTAGAGTTATTTGCATTTTAAAAGGAAACAATCCCTTTAAATCAAAAGAAATTGTTTCAGTTTTGGAATTTAAAATCTTGATAGCCAGTTTGGGCAGACATTTTTGAATATATATATATGTATAGTGAAATCATACCTCATAGACAAGCTGCTACTCCTAAGACAAGCCTTATTCTATATTATTTCATTTACATAAACTTTAACAGGATTGTCCAATTTTAAGTGCTTCTTAGACTGGTAACAGTTTGAAAATGTACACTTCAATACTTTGGTGATTTCACTGATGTGATTATTCCTTGCCCTGTTGTAGATCACAATCCTGTTATGCCTTATAAATGTTCTTTGTTATCATTGTGGATGGTAATAATATAACACCTTTATGGTGCTACATAAATATATGAAACATTTCATTTTACAAAACATTTTACACACATTTTACATACATACCCTTTGAGATAGGTAATGTATTTATCCCCATTTAACAAATGAGTAAAGCAAGTCTTGTAAAGGTTGATTTAATCATTCATGATTATACACATAGCTAGTGTTTGAGCAGGATTTGAACCCAGATGTTTCTTAAGTTGAGCACGTGAACTCCTATACCATGCTGCCCCTCCTATGTGTGTGTATACATACACACATATATCTTAACAAGTAGCCAATCTTCTGATGATAAGCCTCACCAAACTTAGTTAGTGCATTCTCAGAATAACCAGACTATATTGAACCTTTCCAGCTTGGCATGGGACCTACAAAAACTTCATGTTAAATTAACATAGCCTTCAAGAACTAAGTCACTCTGTATCATGATGAACCACCGTAATAGGTAGGACTAAGTGGAAACATAACAGAGACAGAGACAAGACAAATAGGAAAGTGTAAATCAGACTTATGATTTCATTGTTATATGGTACACCCTCCTCTATGAAGAGTCTGACACAGTGGAAATAACTGAACAATAACACACCCCTATCCATACCTCCACCATGCAGATTGCAACCCAAACTGTCTGTCACTTAACAGAAAAGTTCTAAAGAATTTACCTAAGATACCTAAATATTAAATGACTTGCCCAAGATCAGGCAGCTAAGAAATATCAGATGTAGGATTTGAACCCAGAACTTCCTAACTGCAAACTCAGCACTTTATCTACTTAAACACTTTGCCTCTAATTATGGATTAAAAAGTAGATATAAATTATTACCACCTGAAATAACTGACATTTTAGCAATTAATTGCAAAGTAATGAAGAGCAATTTATAACATCTTCCTTTACTATGCCATTATTTTAAGAACCAACTTTCTAATATTTATTCACTTTAAAAAAAACCTGAAATTGGATGACCTAAATTATAATATTTTATTGTTGTCAGGCACTGAAGAAGATGTACTCAAGTCAAAGAAAACATTCAGAAGTCAAGCTGTGGTGAACCAGAATGCAGAAACAGAGCTCATGCTAGAAGGAGATGATGATGCAGTCAGTTTACTACAGGAAAAAGAAATTGACAACCTTGCAGGTAACATTTTAATATTTGTCATGCTTATATTAAGGATAAGGCTCTTTGTATGTCTCTGAGTGTACATATACAGATATATATCCATACACACACACACACACACACACACACACACACACACACACACACACGTGTTTGTGTGTACATCGAAAAGCTATGCCATAACTACCTACTGCATTTCCAACTCTTATCACGGGAATGAAAAATGTAGGCTAGTGACTTAGTATGTTACATTCCTAGTATTAGAGGAAGTTTACAATCTTATAGAATAAGTTCTACCTTAGTAGAAAATTCATATTGCAGATTATGCATATATGTCCACCAATCCCTATCTAATATATTCTGTTTGCATTGTAATTGCTGCCTTGAACACCATGTTGCTCCTGTCCACAGAAACTTTTATTCCATTCCCTCCTCATTGCCATTCTTGAGATTTTTCTTGCTCCCTAACTGCTTTCAATACTTCTGCTACCTGAGACTGAAGAATGTAGCTCCCTGCTGCTCCCCTAAGATCCATTGCTGGTTCCTGGTCTCATTTCCTTATACCCCTCTCCAACCACCAGTCCCCATGCTACTCTTCATCCCAAGCCCTAGTACCTATAATTCCATTTTCTTCCCTGAATTTTAGGTAAATGTATGTACTCTTTACTATTTATTTATACCTTTTCCTCTCCTAATCTAAGGCTAAAATGAAAAGCTAACGGAGACATTTTTGCTTGTTGTTTTTCTGTAGTTACTGGCAAGTTAAAACTGAAAAATCACAAAAGGGTTTTGTGGTTTCCTCAAAGGCAGAGACTGTATACAAGAAGCTAATTTCTGTTTTATTCTGTATCAAGAGCACTTTTCCTAAATATTTCAATAATTGTATTTTAATATAATTGATTTCCATTGTAATCCTATATGTTATATTTATGCATTTAAAACATGATTTGAGAAGGAATCTTTGCCAAAGGAGTCTAACTCAAAAATGGTTAAAAACTGTTCTACAGTAAGACCAAGAGTTTCGAAACCCTAATCAGTAATAATGTTTGATGACTGTAGAAAAAGAAGCAGCTAGGCCCATCTCAAAAGAAAAATAAAATGATAGACAACTCTCCTAAAATGGAGACATAGCCCTTAGAGTTTTCTGCGCTAAAGAGTTTCTGCCCATCCCCCCTCCAGTCTTTTACTTCTAACCCCTTACTATCTTCATCTCCACTCTTTCATCTCCCTATTCCCACCTGAGAGGAGAAATGTTATTCATTTTCATCTTTGTATCCCCCCCCAAATCACAGTGTTTTGCATATAATAGGTATTGAATAAATGCTTATTGAATTGGAGAAATTCTTTACTTACTTTAGGCAGAGTTGGACAGAATAGTGCTATAGCATAAAGTACTTTTGTTTCTAGATACCTGAGTTGAAATTCATAATTTATTTTCCTTCATTCAGTAAATATTTATTAAGTGTTTTATATGTGCTAGGCATTTTGTGTGATATAAACTCATAGGAATATTGGTATGTGTGGTGGATAGTAGACAAAATGCCAGGTGGGAAGATACAGTGTCTCATCAAAACTTGTTTTTTCCAGCTCCTTACATAGTAGGAACTCAGTATTTGTTAAATTTAGTTGAGTTCGCTGTAAACCTCAGTACCAGGCATTGTTTCTTTAGAGAAAAGTATTCTAATGGAAAAATAAAAAGAAATTATTTATTTTAAATTACCTTAGGAATGAAGGATGATGATAAGGAGAAGTGCTGTTTTGTGGCTTCTTATATTTTTATGGGTAAAAGATAACTAAACTTTAGATATGTAACAGACAATTCATCCTTACATCATTGATCTCAGACCTGTTACTGATTTTTACCTGCTCATTATTGAAAGAAATTATTAATGGAAAAAGACACAAGAGAGAATTTGTAATAAGATCAAAGGAGAGAGAATATATATTCCTGAACTTGTTGAGTCATGCATTCCATGTTTGGCATTAGCCTAAAGGCTGAAACATACAATACTCTTTACATGTATGACTTTTGACAGTTTGACAGTACTTATATTTGTTTTCAGTTATTCTAAGTCTTGGCGTGTCTTCCTTGAGTGGTAACCAGAGGTGTGCAAAGTATTTTAGGTTTGAATTTACTATAATTTTGTGTAGGCTAAGATTATGGGTTTGTTTGGTTTTTTGTTTGTCCCTCATATCTTAGCTAATGGTGCCTAGTATTATTGGGGCAGGGGCAGGCCCTTCCTGGTTACAAAAGTAAATTACACTAATTCCTTCATGGAAAGTCCACAGTAACTCCAGAATCCCCGTCCTGGACATAATGAAAAATTCAAAGCCCATGTTATGAGCCAAATTCCTATTTTTCTTTTTTCTAATAGGAGAAAGTCTACCTGCCACCTTACTGCCAATTCAAGTTCTATGAAACTTTATAGATTTTCTTTATTACTAAGCATTGTGTTTTACAAAATGGTTAAGTGTTGGTTCATTCTCTGCTTGTTTTTTTATGAGTGTGGTTGACTCAAAGACTCTGTCTTGGATCTTCTCTCTTCTTTCTCTATGTTCTTTTAGTAATCTCATCTAGTTCCATGGGCTCATCTCTCTGTAGATGACTTCTGATAATTCTTTATATTTAGCCTTTAACTCTTCCCTAAACTCTAGTCCCACATATCTGAGTCATGGCCATCACATGGATATCCTCCTGGAACTTCAAACACAACATGTCCGATATTCTCACCAGTTCCAGAAGCATTCCAGTGTTAACATTTATGCATACTGAGAAGTGTCAGTACTCTACTATTTTCCCCAAATACCATAGTAACTATTTTAAAAGGGTGGTTTTTGATGTGAAATGTTTTCAAAATCTTTTTGAAAGTCAAAGTAAATTATGTTCACTTTTCTTCCTTAATCCACATTGTTAATTTACCACTCTATTGTTTTCCTCTCTCATTTCAAAGAACTCCAGTAAATTTTTTTAAAAAGTCTCCTCTTATGGAAAAGATATTGCCTTTTCTCAAATAGATTCATATGTTCATTGATCTTAGGTTTTATTTTTTATTTTTCTAGGCAATAAATAACTCTTCTGTGGCATTTTGCAATTCACAAAGCTCCTTCCTAGTAACCCTATGAAACAGTTAGCATATGTATTATTATTCCCATAATATAGGTGAGAAAAATTAGCCTCAGAGAGGCTCAGTCAGAGCCAAAATTCCATTTGAGATTTCTTGGTTCCAAGTCCATGTTTTTTTCTACTTTCTTTTTAGTGTACCACTCTGCCTCAAGTAGCCAGTTAGAAAAACTTGCAGGTCTATAATTCTTAGAGCTACTTTGGAGAAGTGTTCAATACAGTAAAATTCTAGTACAATAAAATCATTTGGACATTTCCCTTGAGGCTATTATAATAAGACTTTATCTGTAATACTAAATGTGCATTAATACACAAAGTAAGCCAACCTTTCTAAGCAAGCCTCATTTTGAATGACATAAGTTATATAATATCATTCAATTCTAATATTTACAAGATGTTAAAGACAAAAAGCTGAACAGAGATGCCAAGTAGCATTGTTAATTTAAAATACCCAAGACATAGAAAGTATACTTGAAAAAAAAATTGGTAAAATACCATTGCTGATATTCCTCTAAGGAGACCTTTAGACTTTTAACTTAGAACAAATTCCCTGGGGGTAGTTACAGGTTCCCTCTGTTCCTCAAGACTTAATCTCAGAAGGTTCAGAATAGCTTTAAATACTAATTACTACCTCAAACCGTGGTGAGGAATTGTGAATTAAGTAGCTAATAGAGATTTGTCAATAAGTAGGTATAATTAACTCCTTTTTCTTTCAAATGAAAAAAGTGAAGCAAACCAAATCTGTGTGATAATCACAAAACCCCAGAAAAGTCAGGTTCATGGTTATTTTGTGTCAGAAATTCTAAGCAAATAAGATCCCTTGTTAAATAATTTTGTAGATGTGATATTAAGCAGCTAAGTGGCTCAGTCAGTAGAACACTGGGCCTGAAGTCAGGAAGACCTAAGTTCAGATCATACTTAGACACTCAAAAGCTGTGTGACCCTGGGCAAGTCACTTAATTTCAGTTTGCCTTAATCTATTAGAGAAGGAAATGGCAAATCACTTCAGTATTCTGATAAGAAAACCCCATATGGTGTCACGAAAGTTGGACAGGACTGAACAACAAGATGACTTTTTAATATGTATAATATTTTAAATGGATTCTGATGAGACAAATTCAATATTCAATCAGCAAACACTTATTAAACAACTCTTATGTGCCAGGCACTATGCCAAGTGATGGAGATAACAAATACAAAAAGACGGCCCCTGCCTCAAGGAGCTTACAATCTAACTCGGGAAAACAGCACACAAAAGGAAGCTAAAAATTAGTGGGGAGTTGGGAGTGGGTATAGTTGAGTGGAAGGGAGAAGTTTCCCAGAAGGGGGATTCGATGGAAAAGTCCAAAGAAGTCCAAAAACAGTATATCTAGGAGGAAATAGGAAGAAGACTATGCTGAACCTCCTCCTTAAATGGAGGCCCTTGTGCCCATGGTTCTGCCTGCCAATCAGAGGGACAGAAGGTACTAATGAAATGTGAGTACCAAGACTGATCTCATTATCCCAGTAATGAGTTTCTTGGGGAAGGAAGGCATGGTGGAGAGTTCTAAAGAAGCCCAAAGGCAGTAGAGCTGGTGGGAAATGAGAAATAGAGTAGAAGAACCTTTAAAAGACATCTCAAAAAATTTATATTAAGTTAATTATTATCCTGTGTCTCAGGTTCACCAGTATTTAGAGGGGGGAAATTAACTAAATTCAGCAAATATTAAATGCCTGCAATGATTTCATAGAGCTATGTTAAGAGTTGGGGTAAGATAAAATGTTTAGGTAAACTTAGCCCTGCCTTCATTGAACTTTGCAGTCGAATAAATTAGATATTACAACCCCATAGTCAAATAACCCTTTTCTTAAAAATGTAAGTCCTCACAGTAAAAATCTACAGCAGAATTCAAGAAAT